ACCACATCTTCTATTCCTATTCTTCATTCACTGTCCTTTGCAAGGCAGCTGATATTACCAATTTCTTGCCTTCCGAAGATTCTGTGCTTCTCTAGACATACTCTCATAAATATATTTTACTTATTTACACACATAATGTATCTTTTTTAAGTGGAATTTTGTTCATGAGAATCATTCCATATCTCTATATGAGGAGCTTTCTACCTCCCTACCCCAGCCCCACAGAACCCAGTTCTAGGCTCTTGTGGGCTAGAGCTTTACCAGTGAGCTGTACCCACACCAGCCTAAACTTTCTCATTCTTTTTTTTTTGTTTCTTTTTTTTGTTTTTTTTTTGAGACAGGGTTCTCACTATGTAGTTCAGACTGCTCTGGAACTCACTGTGTAGCCCAGGCTGGTCTTGAACGCACAACGATCCTCCTGCCTTAGCCTCCCAAGTGCTGGGATTACAGTGGTGCGCCAGCACGCCTGGCTCCATCTTTCTCATTCTTAATGACCACATTATATGGACATACCACGATGATCTAAAATATGTCGTATTAAGTGGTTTTGACCAGAGTACTGGTTATTTGGGCTGGGAGTTTAGCTCAGTGGCACTGTGCCTGCTTCACAAGGTCTTGAGTTTGATCCCTGGTATCGGGGAAAAAATACCATACTGGTTATTTATTTAGGCAGCAGAGATTAAATCTCATTTCGTATTTAAGAGAATTGAGATGATTGATGTGCCATATTGAAACTAATTGATACTGTCATTTTCTTACAAGGAAAATCAGTCCAGGTTCATTTGTACTATTCATGTAGTCCATTTTATGGAGAAACAAAAGATAAACTCACTTTAATAAGTTCATTTATTTTCAGAGTTGAGCTTTTTATTGAACACATTACAACAGAGATTTAGTCTAAAAGACCAAAGCGATGTTCTCACCAGGATTCTTAGATTCTTTCTTTGCTTCTCATTCACAGCTGGGCAGCAGGAGTGGAGCGGGGGCAGGACCTTTCCCTGATGCTGCATCAGGTTCAGGAGCAGGTCCACAATCTGCATTGTAGGTGAAGATCCCAGTGTTGACATTGGCCAGGATCTTTGTAAGCAAAACAAGCTATAAGGTTCAACATTTACACCAGCTGCTTAACAAGGGCATTGATCTTATCCTCCTTGGAGGGTCACCTCATTGTCCTGCAGAATGAGAGAGAGTAGGGTGTACTCTGGGGGACCTAGGTATAGCACTAGTCTTGATGAAATGATGGCTTCAATGTAACAAGGCTTTAGCTTTGTTGGAAGGATCAAACATCATGTCAGCAGTCGAGGAAAGGGACAGTAAGTTTATTTTTCAGCCTGTGGTACTTTCAGTTGTACTTTGAAAAGTCCCATGCTGCCTTCTTTCAAAAATTGGAAATTTTCGGTGTGTGTTTTATGTTTGATATTAATTTCATTTGAGTATATTTATCAGATACTCGGCTTTAATGAAAAAGAATCTTTATTCCAGAATATATAAATTGTCAACAGAATAATCAATTTGCGTTTTTATTAGAGATTTGACATACCTGGGGGTATTTACTATATAAATTAATAACTTGCCAGTGACTGGAAATTGTTATTTGTTTTATCAGCAGTTGAAAAGGGCTATATTTTAAAAACAAAACAAAAGTGTGTGAAATATTTGTGTTTGTATTAAGCAAAAAGTGAGTGTAAGATGTCAGTTCAGTGAAAGGATTTTTCAGATATTTTCTACTTTTGGTTTACCATAGATAGAACCATCATGTAACTTGATGGAGTCAAGTAATAGAGATGCCGTATTGCACTGACTGTCATACTGCCAAGATTAGTGGGTGACCTATGGGACATCATAATAGTTGTCTTCTATAACATCACATATACAAGGCCAGACATTGACTTGATGTATACATTCTTAGTATCCTCTTTAAAAAACACTGGTTAATGGGCTGGAGATTTAGCTTAGTGGTTCTACTGCCTGCCTCATAAGCACAGGGTGCAAGGTCCTGAGTTCAATCCCTAGTATAACACCCCCCCCAAACCCCACCGGTTAATGAAATTTGCACTGTAAACAAGCCACACACTCTTGTGATTAAAAGTTATGTCCACTTTCTTCACAATTGTTTCATTATATCATTCACAGTGATGGTAGGGATATTAAGTTTTAATAGCATGAAGTGTGAAATGTAAGATGGTTTGTCTTAAGCCCTTTAAAATCGTTGATAGAGTAGTTTTTGGGTTCACAAACTAGTTGATATTTAGTGGCTGCTATTTATGAAAAAGAACATCTATTTAAACACTAGAATAACTGAATTTAACATAATCATGATGTTAGAACTAGGAAGACTGAGGGAACAGCAGAATTTGGTCTTTCATCTTAATGGTCCTCTGGAGCAACTCCTATTAGAGTGTTGTAAAACTTTGGTCAATTGCATGAGGTGAAAGGTTTTTGTTTGTTTGTTTTTGGTAGAAAGAACATAGGTGTGTGTTTGTTTTTCCCTTGTCCCTCACCCCTTTTTAGGATTTGAGTATGAAAGTAATTATTCCAGTTAACTTAATGTTTTCCAGACTAGTTTATTTTGAAGCATTCCTTTTCATTTCTATTAAAGTCAAGCATACATATTAACTATATCAGAGTTTTGAGGATCCCTTTCTTGAATTTTTTATTTCAAGTTCTAAATTTGAGCCAGGTGTGGTGGCACACTCCTGTAATCACAGCACTTGGGAGGCTGAGGCAGGAGGATTACTTCAAGTTTGAGGCCATCCTGGGCTACTCATTACGTTCAAGGCCAGCCTGAGTGAGACCCTGTCTCAAAAACAAAAAACAAAAAGACACAAGAATCTTTATTTGGTTATTTTCTAGCCTTGCAAGTTCAGTATTAGAGTGCTGCCACTTAGGAAAGTTGGCATATTGTGTTGATAAAGTAATCTTTTATTTCTGTTTATTGATTTTGTGTTTTTGTACAGATTGCTTTCCTGTTGCATCTTTGCTACCATTTCCTAGACCTTGCTCCATGATTTAACTTGAAATTCTGAAATGAAGATGGAGGAGGCAGTGGGAAAAGTAGAAGAGCTCATTGAGCCTGAAGTCCCAACAAAAACATCTGAACAAGAAACAGCCAAGGAGAAAGATGGATCTGCAGAACTGGAACCTCAAGTTCAAAAAGATGGTGTAGCAGATTCTACAGTTCTTTCTTCCATGCCCTGCTTATTGATGGAACTGAGAAGAGATTCTTCTGAGTCTCAGTTAGCCTCCACAGAGAGCGACAAGCCAACAACTGGCCGAGTTTATGAGAGTGACTCCTCTAATCATTGCATGCTTTCCCCTTCCTCTAGTGGTCACCTGGCTGATTCAGATACATTATCTTCTGCAGAAGAGAATGAACCCTCCCAGGCAGAAACAGCAGTAGAAGGTGACCCTTCAGGAGTGTCTAGTGCCACAGTTGGGCGCAAGTCTAGGCGGTCCCGTTCTGAAAGTGAAACGTCTACCATGGCTGCCAAGAAAAACCGGCAATCCAGTGATAAACAGAATGGCCGAGTCACCAAGGTTAAAGGTCATCGGAGCCAAAAGCACAAGGAGAGGATCAGACTACTGAGGCAGAAACGGGAGGCTGCTGCGAGGAAGAAGTACAACCTGCTTCAGGACAGCAGTACCAGTGATAGTGACCTGACTTGTGACTCAAGCACGAGCTCATCAGATGACGATGAAGAGGTTTCAGGGAGCAGCAAGACAATCACTGCAGAGATACCAGGTAGAGGATGCTTTTTAAACTGACTGTAAAGCACCTGATGGCATTTCTCAACTGTCAGACTCAGTTAGATGAGTGACACTTGAAAAAATCCAGGAGACCTGCAGCTCTGTGTAAATTTGAAGACTGCAGTCTATTAGCAAGACATGGCCAATTATTTAAAAACAAACAAAAAAAACCCTGTTCTTAAGTTTCCAGTGCACTTTAGCACATCAGCAAAAACATTATTTAAGTGATTAATGATAGAGACAAGATTATTTTTAAATAATGGAATTTCTCACAAGTCTCTTTCTCTGTAACACATTACCTGACTCCCATCATTGCCTTTTTAGCACTGCTTAGATTTAATACTCACTGTTAGCATTATTACTAAGTATGTTCTCCTCAGGAATAGGCACCTTGCTTTCGTATATAGCCGCTGCACTTGAGCTTATGGTGTCTGAAATAACACATTCTACCTTTTGTTAAAGTTTTATAATAACTGTTCTTCCTAAAACAGTAATTTTGTGTTTTCTCCCTGATTCGATAAATAAGCTAGTTCTCATTGTTGCACATTTTTCTATACTAGGTTGTCACTTACATTGGAATGAATGGCTTTTACAAAAATTTTCTTTAGTCTCTCAAGCTTTAAAAATTTTGTTACAAAATTGCTTGTTCTAGCTCTCATTGGTGTAAGGATGTGTAATTTATTACATGTTTGACATAGCCTCTTTCTGCATATCATATTTGATTCTGTGTATTGTAGCAGTCTTGACACTTTGTAGTGGAAGAAAGATAACTGGCTGGTTCATAAGGGGTAAACTGTCATTAATGAAGAGATCTATGTAATTAGGAACACTTATAAGTTGCATAGTGTTTAATACACCGTAACAGCATTATTTATTGCTACATTAGAGAGGGGGAAGTTTTTTTTCTAAAGTTTTATAAGTGACTTTTCCCCCCTAGTTTTGTTTCTACATATGAAGACAGCATATTGCTGATTTACAAAGAATATTTCAAGAACAATCATATTGGTTAAACCTACAACTAACCAAACTTATAAACTGATTAAGAATGATTGGTTTTAAAGCACTTTATAGGTCTTCAACTTAAAATAATAAAAGTCTCATCCATATAGTATACTAAATATGAGTTTTAAACAGTCTTTAGAAATGCCTCTTACTGTTTTACCATCTATTGAATTCCTTTGGTAGTTTCTTGTGTTAAAATTACTGGGTAGGGAATTTAAACGAAGCTCATAAGAGAAATAGACTTTGGGGTTCGTTTTAAGTAACAAAGCCGAAAACGGTGTGTTCTAGATATATTTTAGTTTTATATTTTTAAGAAAGCCTTATTAACTCTGTAAAATTGCTCATGAATTCTTTTATCTTGTTCTGATCTGTTAATCAAGATCTTGATGAATCTCTTTAATAATGCTTAATTCCACTTACTAAACAGGTTCTTAGTGTACCACCCCAATTTCTTGACTTTTTAATGGGAAGAAAAAATTTTCTTGGAAGATAGAACCTCATTATAGAGATGACATGAGGAATGCCTTGATGAGCCTCTTTCTTTTTGGCTTACACAGATAGGTTAGTGTGGTTTGTTTGTATTTGACTACCTTGACCATTGTTTAAAACTTCTAAATACCAGTGGTTTGTTTCTTATCTATTCTGATTGTATGCAGTATGAATCAAACATCAGAGTAAATGAACATGAATCTATAATTTAGTTTTCTATTTTTTAATGATACGGAGCAAGGTTTTGACTTCTGAAAATGTGTAGAGTGTTTAAGGTAATCATGGAAACTCAAATCATAGCTCAAAGTGCATGACCACTGCATATGACTGCCCATGCTGTGTACTGCAGTTTTGGGAGAGGTACCATTCATGTAAGACAGATTAATGGTCTTTTCTGTAATTATGCAAAAGTGAAACAACCTAGAGTTTAAATATTAGGAATTTCAGGTCAACTGTCCATGTTATTATGCCTGAAAAATTGTGACATTGTACATTTTTTGTGTCATATGTATTTTAGTTTTCTAAGTCACATTATTATTTTTTTCTAAGTCACATTTTGACTTCGAGTTTGAGGGAAGGCACATTCAACCTTATAGCAAGAGCAGTTGTTGAACAGGTGATTTTTTTTTTTTGAGACGTGGTCTCAGTATGCAGTTCAGGTTAGCCTTGAACTTGTGGGGATCCTCCTGTCTCCTGAATGCTGGGATTACAGGCATGTGCTGCCATGCCTGAACAGCTGATTTTTTTGGAAAAAATGTTGTTAGTACGTAAGGATGAACACGTGGGGATCCTCCTGTCTCCTGAATGCTGGGATTACAGGCATGTGCTGCCATGCCTGAACAGCTGATTTTTTTGGAAAAAATGTTGTTAGTACGTAAGGATTACATTCATTGTGGGGAGTTGGTACGTATACATAACACATCGTAATTCTTTTTTCATCCCTTTCCCCCTGGCTCTCTACCCCCAAAATTGTGTTATGAACTGATTTGAAGGCAACAATGTGGACATTAGGTGAATTTAAACTAGATGTGCCTAATCGAATTTCTTAGATGTGGAAACTTGAGTCCAGTTGTTTACACAGGATAGAAACCAAATTATTTCATCAAGATGCAAACAATTTAGTAATATAGAAAATACTGTGTTTATAAGCTTTTGGCAGCAGCTTAAAAGTTGAAGAAATTTCCTGAATATACTCTTACAATAAATAATGTAACAACTAGTGCATTTTCTTTTAGAGAATGCAAATAGTGATGCAGATGGATACAGTGCATGATCATACTTAATAATTTATTTTGATATACTAACAACAGATATTTATGAAGTATTTTAAATATTTAATTAATATTATCAGCCCTATACATACCATTTTCTTGAAGTGTTTGGAAATACATGAATGTTATAAGAATCTGTTTGGAGGTATACCAAGATAATTCTGGCAGTACTTTTATTTGAGGGACTTAGAGATGATCGAAGTATTTTATAATAAATTTATAGCATTTTATATTGTGTTAATCTAAAAATACTTTGTGGTGGCTACCTTGAATAATCAAGGCTTTTATCCAGTGTCTAATTGATCTTCATAGAGTGTTTTAATGTGCTCTATGTATTTTCTTTACAGTTTTATGATTGGAGCATTTTTTCATGGGGGGCCAGTTTGTCTATACTGTCACTTTTGAGACTAGCTCTGGAAGTCTGCTGTTGGAGGGACTTTGATTTTAGTTAATATATGTATAAGTAATGGGCATTAGACTTCAGTCAGCTTAATAAGTTAATTCTCTGAACAAACGTGTGCATCAGTATACATGAAGAGCTAGGAAAAGTTTCTCCAGTAACTTGCTTTTCATAAATACTTAGCATAGTGAACCTCAGGATAAGCCTTGTCTTGTCTTGGCTATAATGGCCTGCTTTTGTATGGTCTAATGGTCTACCGTTTAAATGCCTACTCAGACTGAAGTTCTGAAAATAGTGCCTATCATAGTAGGTGAGAGTCAGTTGTCTTAGCTGGTTGCCATTTTGAGAATGTCAGAAGGCTATTGAGAACAGGTGTCTACAATCACCTGAATTCTCAATCTACATGGCCAGGCACACCAGCTCAGCCCTACTGGAGCCAGGAGCTCAGCATTTGTTATTTACCATATATTTATGCATTGACATGTATCATGATAGACCATGATTTTTGATTGGTTGACTGTTGCTTGAAAAAAAACCTCTAAAAATCCTTTATAGAAATATTTGGAAATAAGAAAACATGAGGTAGAAATTACCATGATTATGCTTTTGCTATTATTTGACTCATTGCTTTCCATAATATATTACAAAAAATTTCACAATGGATATACTTCTGCATTTTTTCCTCTTAACATAACTTTTTGAGCTTTTGACCAAAACACTAAGTGTTCTGTAGAATTTTTGGATTTTGAATAACTTAGCTAACTATAAAAGTAACTTTTCTAATATTGGTTATTTGGGCTGTTTAGATTTTGCTCTTATGGGTACGAGTGTAAACACTTAAAGCAGTTGACTGTATACTGCCATACTATTTTTAAAATACATCACTTACTCCATCTAGGAGTTTGAGTTTTGTGCATTATATTCTTCCTATTGTTTATTTCTAAAAAACTCTTGCTGATTTGGTAGAAGAATCATGTTAAGGTTAATATGTATTTCTTTGATCACTAATGAAGTTGAAAAATCATGTTTGGCCTTTTGTGTTCCTTTGGTAAACTGACTGTTTTTTGCAAGTTTTCCTCCTAGTACATGTATTTTTTTTCTCATTAATTTGTGTGTTCTTAACATATATGGATTTTTTGTGGAAAAGTATTAATTTATTTTAGGCAGTGGGGGTCCATAGTAAAAGATAAGGCCCTAAGACCACATAGGGAGTCTCACAAAACACAGTGATTGATTGACCTTTTTCCTAGATTAAATGTGAAGTGACTCAGGCTAAAAGCCTTTTTCCCAATTACAAGCCTTTTGTAAACTGGTTATATTTTGGTAGATATTTAGGAGACTCTCACTAGATACATTGATACATTATTTGGAGACAGAATAATCAGGTACATTGTCTGTTTTCAGTTTAGTAAATGCAAACTAGATAGATAAAATTCATTAGAATCACTAGGGGTGGGGGTGGGGGCAGGCAGGGTGTTTAAAATTTACGCTGGCCATATTCCAGCTCAGTTAAATTAGAATCTTTGGGCTTTGATCCTAGGCAGCAGCATTTTTAAAGCTACCTGGTGATAACAGTGAGGAACCAGGGCTGAGAGCTACTCAGGCAAGTTGCAGGTGAGCTGGCTACCATGACACCTGTAGTTCCCCTTACTTGGGAAGCTGAGGCAGGAAAATCCTTTCAGCCCAGATTAAGGAAGGGACGAGAAAAGAAATGATATATTAAGTTCCCATAGCTAAAAAATCATTGTGAAATTGGCAGTTTTGTTCCCTTTAGTTCTTTTTTTTTTTTTTTTTTTTTTTTTTTTGGTACCAGGGATCAAACTTGGGACCTTA